CTCCAAAGCTACACAGAAAAACCCTGTCTCGAAAAACCAAAAAAACAAACAAAAAACATAAAAATGAAAGAAAAAGGCAATAATTCAAAACCTAAAATATTGTTTCCCTATATCTTGTTTATATAGTAACATACGCCCACTCTCTCTCTCTCTCTGATGGGTTCTCTCTGTGTAGCTCTGACTGGCCTGGAACTTGTTATGTAGACCAGGCTGACTTTAAATCCAGAGATTCACCTGCCTCTGCCTCCTCAGTGCCACCATGCCCAGCAATATATACATCTGTCCCCAACAAAACACACAGTGCCACTAAAGGCAGACACTTCTGCTTTGCTTTGCCTTTCAGGCCTGCAGCAAACATTCTTCTTTACAACCATCAGTACAGACACTAGATTCTGCTATATACACTGCATATGTAAAGCAACATTCAAAAGTTGAGTATTCTCTTTGATTCCAAACATTTTCAATGTATTTAATAACAATAAAAGTACTTGATTTTTCTAAGATTTTATCTAATTTGCTCTTAGCTATTCATACAAATATTGCCAGAAGGTAATTTAACTTTTTTTTTCAACTTAACCTTTTTTTTTTGTAGTCTTGGCCATCTTGGAACTCTCTCTGTAGGCCAGGCTGGCCTTGAACTCACAGAGATCCACCTGCCTTTGTCTCCCAAGTTCTGGGATTAAAGGTGTGAGCCACCACCAATAATTTAACTCTTAAGCAAGATGGGATGGAATCATACAGTAGAAATAAAATTTAAAAAAAAAGAAACTTAATGTGAGACGATGTTAACAAGCCTGGTTATAATAATTGCACAATTGTATACACATATCAAAACTCACATTGTATAGTGTAAATACATTTCTTACTAATTATAACTCAATAAAGGGAGGAAAAACACAAACAATTGATGCTGAAATCAGTTGCCAAATGCCTTTTCCATGGAAAATTAGTTGGGTAAATAGGTTTGCTTTATTTATTTATAAATGAGTTTTTAAATGTGCAATGTATTTTACTATAACATATAAAATTTTCTCAATTAGTTTTAAATCTAAAGCTTAAAAATCATACATAAATATTTATCTTCTAATATATGAATGCCTAATAAGAATAAAAAGCTAAAATGAATCATTTTCTTTTTGTGTTTAAATTCCAGGCAGCCCAGTATAGCAGACTGAAAGGCCGTATTACTTATCGAGCTTCTCTGTGTTCTGACGCCAGTGAGTCATGTCCTTTCTCCACCGCAGGTTTTCTTGGCTCCCAAAGGCACTTCCAGATGGGCTCCTCTCTGTCAAACCAATTTCAAAATGGTACTTTAGGTAGAACACATGTACACATATTTGAAAATATACAAGAAATAGTGTCTATCTTTAATTTTGTAAAGTAATTTCTTTCAGTTCAAGTAGAAGAAATGGAAAGGTGATTTTCATTTAAAAGTTTTCACAACAATTAAGGACAAAAATATTTCCTATACAGGATATTTCTTGGGGAAGAAAAACCCATCCTCTTAAATAAGCCAAGAAAGGACCTAAGGTGGGTTTTATTATAAGGCTAAATGGAATGGCCTCATTTCCTTGAGAGTACCAGGATGTGTTTAGCCATTCTATTCTCTTGCTCTCCATGTAAGCATGGGTACTCTGAATGGTCTCACCACACAGGCTCCTGAGACTTTTATCTGATTGTTTTGCTCATAAACTTCCACAGGGCAAGCCATCACTCACCACCTCTTCAGAAGTCCCCCCACCCCAAGATATTTTTGCCTAAGTGTTTGCTTTGCTTTTGTTCATAACATTAACTACTAATTTGTAACAACACAGGGTCTCACTCTAGCCCAGGCTGGCCTGGAATGCAGTATATAGCCAAAGCTAGTCATGAATTTAATGTAATCCTCCTGCCTAGGTCTCCTAAGTGCTGGGATTACAGAAGTGTACCATCACACTGGTTCCATAACATTTATTCATATAAGAACATGTTACTTGACAAAAATGATGTCCATTTTGTTCTACATTTAATAATAAAGAATCTGGAATATAGTGACAACATACTAAGTTTGTGTCCATAACAAAATATAATGGAGGCTGGGAAGATAGCTTCTTGATTAAAGTGTTTGCAGTGCAAGCAATGAACAGGAATTCAGATTCCTAGAACCTATACATATGCCAGGCAGATGTGGCAGCCTGCCTGTAATTTTAGCCTTGGGAGGCAGAGACAGGGGACCCTTGGAGTAAGTTGGCTAGCAAGATGGTCACATTGGAGCACTTTGTTTAACTAAAAGACCTTGCCTTAAAGAGTAAGGAGGAATAATTGAGGACGTTCTTATATCAACCTAAGACTCCACAGTCATGCACATACATGCACACACATGCACATACATACAAACATGCATATAAAATACAACAGACTCATGAAAAGATTAAAAAACTATAATAATAAGCTTAAATTCTTCTAAGAAAAAGATCTTTTCGTGACAGTGAGACACATCTGTTCCTGGCAGCACCAATTTACTTCAAAAGAAGATGATGGGCACTGAAGAATCTCCTTATGAAGTTTGCTTTCTTTGTGACAAAAGCTAGCCATTTGGGCAAGAAATTGCCCTTGCTCGATTGCTGACAGTATATTGTTCAAACTGGACCAGCAGGATGCAAAAGAAGTGACTGCCAAACTTTGCCAAGACAAGCTTAGACAGTCTTGTAAATTCCCTGCTTCTCAGAAATGTCTATCAGATATACTGGGTAGGCCTAGGAAGGGGAAATAGACGAGATCTCCCAGGTAAACTGGGGGTGGTTGGGAATGGGATGCCAAACCTGGCCTTGGCAAAGTGTGGATAAGAAATATGGGTTAATTTAAGTTGTAAGAGCTAATTAGTAGCATAGGGAGGGGATGGGGGAATGGGATGGTCAAGATGGGGGAGGGACAGAGACAGAGAGCAATGAAAGAGATATCTTGATAGAGGGAACCATTTGGGGGTTAGGGAGAAACCTGGTGCTATGGAAATTCCCAGGAATCTACAAAGATGACCCTAGCTAAGACTCTTAGCAGTAGTGGAGAGGGTGCCTGAACTGGCCTTGTCCTATGACTACCCTAGTTGTTATCTTAAAACCTTTATTCAGTAACTGATGGAAGCAGATGTAGAGATCCACAGCCAAACACTGGGCTGAGCTTGGGAAGTCCAGTTGAAGAGTGGGAAGAGGGATTATATGAGAAAGGGAAGTCAAGATCTTGATGGGGATCCCATAGAGCCAGCTGACCCAAGCTTATGAGAGCTCATAGACTCTGGACTGACAGCTGGGGAGGCTGCATGGGACCAAACCAGGCCCTCTGCATGTTGGTGTGGCTTGGTCTGTTTGTGGACCACTGACAATGGGACTAGGATCTATCTCTGGTGCATGAGCTGGCTTTTTGGAGCCCATTCCCTATGGCAGGATGCCTTACTCAGCCTTAATGAAGGGGGAAGGGGCTTGGTCCTACCTCAACCTAATATGTCAGGCTTTGTTGACTTCCCATGGGAGGTCTTACCCTTTCTGAGGAGTATATCGGGAGGGGTAGGGGATGGGAGGATGGGAGGGGGACTGTGGTTGGTATGTAAAACAAATAAAAAAATTATAATAAAAGAGAAATGTCTGTCAGATATACTAGGCCTGTAGGCCAATGATGGATGCCCCAACGTTCCAGAGAACTTTGGGCAGACTGTCAAGGCAGCCAGATGTCTTTGTCATTAGGTAATATTATACCCTTCTGGGGTCTTTGATGGAGTTAAAGACTAAATAGTTAAACTTACAGTTTTTCTTAGTCATGACAAAAAATAAATTAGGTGTAAACTTTAGACTCACAAAGGTAAGATAAAGTATTTTCTCTAAATTCGCCAAATATAAATGGACTAGGTATTGTAACTGTAATTCTTACTTAGTAACTGTTTTTGTTGTATGTAATTTTACTATGTTAAAGTTTAAACCTTCCTTTTTAATTAGACAAAAAGGGGGAAAAAACTACAGAACAATTGTTTTGTGTACTGTGAATTTTGGTGTTCTCATTGGTTTAATTAAAGGGCTAAATGGCCAGTAGCTAGGCAGATAGAGGTAAGACAGGACTTGCACACAAAAGAAGAGCAAGGGGATGCAGAAAGGTGGAGTTATCAGCAAGATGCAGAGAGAGCAGGAGATGAAAATGCCATGGTGAAAACAGGTACTGCCACTTGGCAAAGTGTGGATAAGAAATATGGGTTAATTTAAGTTGTAAGAGCTAATTAGTAACAACCCTAAACTACTGGCCAAACATTTATAATTAGCAATAAATCTTCCTGTTGATTATTGGGGAGCCAGCTATCCTGAAGAAAAACCCTGCCAATAGGACATCTTGCTTACTTCCATGCTAGGACTGTCTGGCTTGAAATCTATTTATTCCTCTCCAGGTTGAGTGTGTCTTACTCATCATTAAATTCTAAACACATACAGTATATAAAATCTACTTAAATAAATGATTTATGCTAATGACATGTCAGAAAATTCCAATTGTGCTGCTGGTGGGAGTATAACTCCTTTAATCCCAGTACTCAGGAGGCAGAGGCAGGTGGATCTCTGAGTTTGAGGCTAGCCTGGTCTCCAGAGTTAGTTCTAGATCAGCTAGTACTACATAGAGAAACCCCATCTCGAAAAACAAAAGAAAACAAAAATTCTAATTAACTATTATAGTTTATAGGCCAGATGCACCTACCAAGCTGCCCTCTGCTCCGCCGTACCATTTCCTGCCTGGCACCGATGCTCCCCAGAATGGCTTCTTCAAGTTTGGCTCTCATGTCTTTTGATTTCTTAAAGGTCAAACTATTCATTCTTTCAAACACCTTTTTCCCCTAAAATTTAAACAACAGAATAGGCACTGAGACATTGCCTTCTTCCTTTCCACACCATTTTATTTCTTTATAAGTTTCAATGGTCTAATGGCTACTTACTTTGTACTCAAAGCAAGATACACACAGATAAAGCAGATCTAACAGACGGTTCAGCTGTAGGACTGAGAGGTCTGTAAACCACTTCTGCAGAACTGTTTCATCTGCATTCTTGAGAACCCAAAGTAGACAGATCAGAAGGCTCCGGCTCGATTCTGCTGAGAAGGTGGTATGTTGTCTGCCACTCTGAAAATGAGGAATAGCAGCATGAGAACCACAGGCCAGTGATCATTTGTTGTTTTTGTTATTGATATGTACCTGTAACTCCAGTGTTTGGGAGACTCGGGTAGAAGGGCTGCAAGTTTGAGGCAGTTTAAGCTACCTGACAAGCTTCAGGCAACCCTGGTTATATACTAAGGCTCTGTCTAAAAATCATATGAACAAATAAATGCTATAAAATTGAATTTTCTTAAAAATAAACCACTCTAAAGGAACCATTTGATTTAGATAACACATGGGAAAGCAGCCATGTAGAACCCAGAAAGCCAGTCATATAAAACTCTAAAATCCCAAGTTTAATAAATGACAGTAGACATTGGCTTTATTGTGGCAGAGCTGCCAGTAGAGAACAGTACGTACATGTGAAGAGAAAGCTTAAAGAGAAAACAAAGTTTCTACTATTAAAACCAAAGAACATATCATAGGACATCAGAGATGATGAGAACAAATGAGCAAAGCAATTGACTCAGAGTAAGTTGGAGTATGGACAAAAACTAGTAACAAATTAATGTTTATAAGGTTTAGAGGACCACTGCTTCTTACAATAGTCACTGACAAAAGGGGGAAAGGCTTAAACCATACTCTGGTGGTTTGAATGAGAATGTCCCCACAGTCTCAGGCATGTAAACATTTGGTTCCCATTGGTAGAACTGTCTGAGGAAGTTTAGGCAATGTAGCCTTGCTGGAGGGAACACATACTGGGGGCAGGCTTTGAGAGTAAAAGCCTTGAGCTATCTCCAGTTTGCTTTCTCTGCTTTGTGCTCATGGTTGAGATGTAAGCTCTCAGCTTCCAGTTTCTGCTTGCTATCATAGACTGCTATCCCTCTGGAGCTTTAAATTAAAATAAACTCTCTCTTCCTTAAACTGCCTATGTTTTATCAGAGAAACAGTAATCAATATACATGTAGTAGAAAATGCTATTTTTATTTACAGCATATAAGGTATTTTCAAAGTGTGATCTATATCAGGACATAGCAATGGATTGTAAATGAAACATATAAACTTATTTATAGCATCACTGACTAGGGATCTTATCTATCTCAGACACTGTACTAAGCCCTCCACACACACTATTTTAGTCCTCCCAAAATATTACAAATTAAGTTGTCTCATCTCAATTTCACAATTAAGAATAGAGAACAACTGTCAGGCGGTAGTGTTGCATGCCTTTAATCCCAGCACTCAGGAGGCAGAAACAGGCAGATTTCTCTGAGTTCAAGGACAGGCTCCAAAGCTACAAAGAAACCCTGTCTGGAAAAACCAAACCAAACCAAAAACAAAAAAGGTTGCATTTTAAACACTATCATCAAGAACAGAAAAGATAATCCATCCTCCAAAGAACACATTCAAGAAGTTGTGGCAACAAGCACTGACTGGGTTGCTCACACCATTTAAGAAGGGCTTAGTTTCTCAAATGTTAAATGAGAGATGCCCAGCAAATTCACTCCAAGGTTTCAATCCAAGTCACTTGAAAGACAGAAAGACTTGCACACAACAACATTCTTTATTACAAACAGCTGAAAAATGGAACTATCTAAATGTTAATCAAGTAAAACACAGATAAACAAAATTTGGGTATATCAACAGAATGCGGCAATAATTTGGTAACTTAAAAAAAGAAAAGAACCACTGGTACATGCTGCAGCATGAATGGAGAAATCTCAAAAACACACACAGTGAGTGGTGACACTTCTGTGTTGTCTGAAGGAAGTCATTTAAAGCTTTCAGAATGTGGACTGGCTCATGGGAGTTTGTCTCCTTCCTGCTCTCACAGCCTCCTCTGTCACGGGAGAAAAAAAAGGCACAAATTTTCACAGATTACTCTGCTATATTTAAAAGGCATGAAATTTAAAGTTTAATTGTTAATCTGAGAGTATTTCTTAGAGCCGATAAGTGGGTTTTAAAAATGAAGGCAAGGAGCTGCATCAAATGAGGTACTTTACAGAGTTCTCAACGACAAAATACAGGGCTGCATCCTGTAAGTCTCAAGGTTAACAGTATTTCAAACAACTTGGTAATGGCAGATAATAGTCTATTAGCGTTTTCATAGAGCTCGGAATACATTTGCATTGGTTAATACAATAACCTCAGCAATGGACACCTCTTTCTGTATATTTTGTATTTCAGAAAAATAAAACAAAAAGCCTAACTTTTATAAGAGGTTCATTTTACCGTTGAAGTGAGGAGAAAACTGCCAGGCCTCGTCAGCTGAGGGACTGAGGTTCCAGCAATTGCCATGGCAACTGTCTGGCTTATCATGCTCCCACTCTCACTATCATAATCATCAGGGGCTATACAAATTGGTCTTCCTCGTTGATTGTGTGTTTCTGAAAGGGAAAAGGGGAAGAAAACTTTGGATCAGCTAATAGTTATTAAACATGACCTCCTCACAAGTTAGGACACCCAGAGCCAAAAATGCATGTGTAATTTTACTGTTCCCAAACTCAACCATTGCAGTGCAGTCTGCATTGACTAGCAGCCTTACTGACAACATGATATCAGTAACAATGAGCAACAGGTGCCTTCAAGCTGGTTCTGCTTTCAGAAATCTGAACCATTTAGGCAGAGACCATTAGTATCACAGCACTTTAAGCATAGTCTTGACACCTCAGCTCATAAGAGATAGCCATACAGTTATTATAGTAGACAGTGTGTGGCAGAACTAATTCATGCTGTTTTAGTGCTGCATTTTATATTTGTTAGTGTGCCTCTCAACTTTGAGTGTCACCATATACATACTCTGTGTCTACTTTTAAAACGAACTTTCATAATAGATTTAAACAGATTGTGGTAGAAAATAGTTTTTAAAAAGACTATTTTCTGGGTTGGAGAGATGGCTCAGAGGTTAAGAGCACTGACTCCTCTTCCAGAGGACCAGAGTTCAATACCCAGCAACCACATGGTGGCTCACAACCATCCGTTATGAGGTCTGGTTCCCTCTTCTGGTGTGCAGATATACATGGAAGCAGAATGTTGTATACATAATAAATAAATACAATCTTTAAAAAACCCAAAAAGACTATTATCTATATTTCATCATTCATCACGTATCTGACTTTTTCTTGATTTTTTTTTTTTGGGGGGGTGACATCTCTAGAGTATATAGCTTGTCTGAGTCTCTTTAAAATGATAGTAACCTTGAATTTTCCATGTTTTCAAGACACTATCAATTTTTATTAGGATTCATTTCTTTTTAAGTATTTACGTATTAACTTGTTTCTATGTTAGTACTTTCTAGTGGAAACCTAAACTGATTAGTTACAAAGCAAGATGTAACAGCATGAACATTCCTGCCTTCAGCTAGAAACACTTCAGTGACCCAAACCTGGGAGGTTACACTGCCAATTTCTTACAGACAAGGAGTTATTTCCTGAAAATATCAGGTACCCAGGAAATGTTTTTGACTTCATTAAACCAGAAGTACTTTATAAGGCTAATTGCTAGTTTAAATAGTTACAATCTAAACTGAGCATTTAAGTGCCATCTAAATAGTCAAAGTATGTGAATGAAACTTTGCAGTTCTAGTTTTTCAGGAGCAGCACAGTCTCAGCATACTAACTTGGAATAAACACAATTCTTGATATGCAGGTGAATATTAATTTCAGTTACTCATCTCTATGAATAAAGCTGTCCATGAGAACAGTACTATTCTCTTTTAAAATGACAATACACATGCATACAAAAAAGATGTGTTTTCTAAAAGGCAGATAAGAATTGCTATAAACTCATAATTTAAAATTCATTCATAGACAGCCCAGCTTGCCCAGTCAGTAGAGCACGAGACTCTTAAAATTCATTCTAAGATCTTCTTATGAGATTCTCACAATGAATCTTCTAAAATACTCAAAAGTTTTTTTAACAACAAGGTTAAACATGGTTATTTACAGTTTATTTTTAGGGGGGTGCACTTTAAAAATAATTTTAAAATTATTTTATGTTTGTATCTATGGGTGTTTTGCCTGCATGTGAGTATGTGCACCTCACATGTGACTGGTGCCCAAAGAGACTAGAAGAGGGTACTGGATCCCCAAGATCCACCATGTGAGTACTGGGAATCAAACAGGAGTCCTCTGCAGAACAGTCAGTACTATTAATCACTGAGCCTCTAACTTCCTTTATACTTGTTTAACCTTAAAAGACATTTTCTACAACTTTTAGACAACCTTTGAAAACTACATTAATTATACTGTACCTGTAAAATCATATAGTTGAGGTACAGTTTCCATGATAATACCAATCAGAGGAAGGTACAACATAGCCACCCGAGCCTTTATCTGAGGGTCAGAGTACCGTGGGTCAGAGTCGTGACTGGAAAGTAAGTTGTGTACCATATTGATGACTTTCTTATGCAATCCAAACAGTCTATTTAAAAAGGAGAAATGAAGAAGCCATGAGGTCACAGAGATTAGTAATATCTTCAAAACAAATAGTAAGTAATGGCACTCAATCTTGTTTAATTTCTCTGCCAGCTATATTTTTATAGTTTAAAGCAAGTAAGATGCATAAATTTGAAAATAGTATAAAGTAAATACAGTAGGAAAAGGAAGCACTTTATCAGTTCACTGAAGAGTAAAAACAAACTCTTTGCCATACTTATTAGTGTTGCCGACTGATAAGGAACATAAGAGAATAAATACATAGTACCAATTTCAACAAAAAATTTAAGTAGTATTATTATCATGTGTATTGAAATGGGGGTCGCACACGTGCCATGGTGCATGTGTGGAGGTCAGGAGACAACTTTATGGTATCAGTTTTCTCTGTTCACCTTTTCATGGGTGCTGGGGATTGAACTCAGGTTGTCAGTATGCATGGCACACACTACTTGCTGAGCCATCTCACTGGCTCTGTAGTAACAATTCTGAAGTCGATTTCAGGTAGCTTTAACTTTTACTTCAACAAATCAGATCTTTTTCCTCTATTTTTATTTTGTATGTGTACTTGGTACAAGCATATGTGTGACTCTGTGTGCCTATGTAAGGCTCGTGTGTGGATGTGAGTGAGAGTCTATGTGAGTATGAGATGCAGGTGTACGGAGACCAGAGGTGGACTAAGATGTCTTCCTTAATTGTTCTCCAAATTTATTTTTTCGAGGTAAGGTCACTGACCCTTATGTTACCAATTTGACAAGATGAGCTGGCCAGTGAGCTGCAGGAATTCTCCTGCCTCCACCTTCCTCACGCTAGGATTACAAATGGTGCTTTGCCCAGCTTTTTCTGTGGGTGCTGGAAACCCTTATACGTCAATGGTAACCCCTATACTGAAAAAGCAAGACTGCCTCTATTAACTTTTTTTTTTTTTATTGAAAGAAAAATCCCCAATCTGGCAGATTATTTTTGGTTGTGAGTCTAGTCTTTAACGGCTGAGCTATCCCTCCAGCCCAATCTGGCAGATTATATAACAGGCTGGAGTTTCTTTTGCTATCTCTATTTTTTAACTGAACTTCTTTGCTCAAGCATCTCATTTAGATCCTTCTGATTTTTCTAGACTCTACTGCCTGCAGTTAGTGTCCTTTACTTACACACACACACACACACACACACACACACACACACACACACTACATGTTCTCTCCACAGACTTTGACTATTACTGATTAAAGCACATCCATTCCAGCTCCAACTGGCCCTTATCCTGCAGCAAACATCAGCATCAACTCCTGTCCTCACAGGAGAACTCAAATGCAAGTGCTTGTCTTAGCAAAGAAGAGGCATTTTGGATTTGCTCTGGCCAGGTCTTTTAAATATGCTCATCTCTTCTAAAACAGATTTTCTTTTCTTTTCCTGGTCTTCTTCTTCTTCTTCTTCTTCTTCTTCTTCTTTTTTTTTTTTTTTAAATTAGGTATATGTGTAAATGTGATGTGTGGAGGGTGGGCATGAAGACTAGCAGGGGACATAAGATCATCCTCTGGAGCTGGAGCTACAGGTTGTTGAGAGCCATTGGGCATAGGTGACAGGAACTAATTTCAGACCCTAGTCAAGACCAAGAAATGTTTTTAACTGATAAGCCATCTCTCCACCCGCCAAGTATGTCTGCCTTACACCTACAAAAGTCTCTTTTTCTTTCACCTTTTTATCTCAGAAAAAGTCGAATTTCTCCCAGAATGTGCTCTCCCCATGTTGTCAGGGATCCTCATCTCCCTTCAACACTTTCAGTGACCATCCTGACCAACCTCTTCCCTTGTTTCAAGCAAACCTTTCCTATTTTGAAAGCACATCTTAATTTTCATTATAGGCCTACTCATAAAGTATACATTCAAATATTGTCAAAATCACATTGGTTCACACACATTTTCAGTCCTCATTACCAATTCTCTGTGTGACACTTTTCCTAACATCTCCCATTCTTCCAATACTCCCTAAGAAGCCAATCCCAATGCTGACTTTTTAATCTTACTCATTCTTTCACAACTTCGATATACACATCACAGAGGTACTTTCTTCCCAACAAGCTCTTCTCCTACATTCACATCTTTCTTTGTGTGTCCTGCTACACTTAACTAGTATGAGCACATGTAGGGGTTCCCTGGCTCTGCAATCTACATCTCACCATAATGATTCTCATGCCTGGACAGGCACTCCTACCCTCTCAGCAGCTATCACATCCAGATTCCAACAAGTCTCAACTCTTTTTTCATGAAGCCTTTTCATGTATTTTATTTCTCAATCACATTAAAGTTATTAAGTATATAATTATCCAATACTCAGTGCTGATGACTGAACCCAGAGTTTCATGCATGCCACATAAGCATGCTCCCTCTGAGCTACTGCCCCAGCTCCTACCCCATTCTTGCTGTCTGAATTAAGATGCACCAGCTCCTGCCTCCCAATTCCTTCTTTGAGTTCCTGCCCTGACATCCTTCATGATGGATTGTGGTCTGGGCATACAAGTTTCCAAGCTACTTTTGATCATGGCATTTTATCACATTAATAGAACAACAGCTCTTTAGAAGACAAGACAATCTGTGCCTCTATTAGACCAATTCATGGTCAACTTTCCCGCTATAAGGAAAGTTCATAACAAGCACAACTTTTGCCAATTATAGAACATATTACTGCCAATCAAGGAAAGATTCTAAGTACTTCGCAAGCATTAAGGACCTTTACAGTATCTCTGTATACGCCTATAAGGATATAACGAGGGTATATGACCATCTTAGGGTCATTCAAGCATTATTCTAAAATTTAATTGCTAAGGCCCAAAGGTAGAAATGAACTTGTCACATTCAAGCTAGAAAGTTAGAATGGTTTATGTTAGATGAGCTGAATATCTAGCTACTAAGAGAGCATTAAACAGACTCTAAAGCTCTTGGAATACAACACTGAGCAGGAAACATAGCTCATACTCCAATGGAGGGGATGCATGATAAACACAAGGAAGCACTGTGCAGGAGAGAAACAGGACTGCGTGGCTAAGAATGGCTGTGGCAAGGGCTATAATTTAGTGGGCAATGAGAGCCTCAACAGGAATGTCCTGTTTTGTGAGGAGGCCTGAGAAGTTACAAGCAGGAAATGGCCATGTGAAGACCCAAGTATTGCTTTGGGCAGAGAAAAATCAAGTGTCAAGACCCAGATGTATAGAACAAACTTGTAACATTTAAGAAACAGAAAAGAGCAAGGCAGGGTTTTGAGGATGATTACTAAAAGTCTGGGTTTTATTCCAAGGGGTATTTAACTTACAAAGAAAGAGAGAGGATAATTTTAAGCAACGTCATAGCATAATCTTACCCCACTTAAAAAATACTATCTAGGTTATTGTGTTGAAAATGATTTTAAAGACGTAATAAGGAAACATAATTAGCTCTAGTAGTATGGCTGAAAAGAACTGGCTGAACTTGGGATATATTTTAGAGAGCTGCACTTTGCTAATGGAGTGGGCCCAGGAAAGAAAAGGAAAAGGAGAAAACAAATTAGAATAAAGCTAAGGCTATAAGTTGATGTGCTCTTCTAATATATAGCACAAAGGTTGCGATGGATGTCTGAACACACAAAGGTGACAGTAAACACGATCATTACTCATGGGACTGACTCAACAGAAATCTTTCCAAGAGACAAAAATCAATACGTTCTAGCTTCAAGGAAAAGGGTCAGTAACGAATTCCTTCATAAGTCTCAAATTATTACATTTTAATAGAGTTAATTATTGTCATGGAAAGGAACATCATTGTTGGAACTGTCTATCCTTTATATGAGACATTCCTGAAATCTAGACAGCATGCATTTCCCTGCCAACCATCCTAATTCAACCAAAACTAGGTTTCCATATGGTTCGGGAGTCCAGTTTCAGCATCAGATTCTACCTAAGTCAGCCCTGTCACTTCAAATGGCCAGTTAGCATGTTTGTTTGAATCTGCAAAGACACAACCTTTAATTAGCTCATAGCTTTCCTTAATAGAGAAAGCTTGACAATAATCAACGCTGTTTAGTGACACAGTTGATTTAGAGTTGGGTATAATATTCTCATCTTGTGCACTGATGTGAACAACCCACATCTGGTGTAAGGTCACATGTGAGTAGAACGGACCCCTAACCATCCAGCAACCCGCACAACTTTGGGGACTGCATCCATCAGGATAACCATCTGAGCCTCACCAGCCATGGGAAAGATTCACACTTGCATGGGAAATGGAGTCATTAACCCTCTCTCCCACCAACCGTGAACAAAGACAGTATTTAATCCTAACTCGGTGGGAACCATCCTGTAGTAAGAGTAGAGCTGACTATTCCTGCAGGGGGAAACATGATGAAATTAATGAGTTGAAGACTGAATTACATAAAGAACCTACTTTCTTCCAAATATGAATAAACTTATTTCCTTTAACAAAGCCAGTTTGAAGAAGAATTTTCACTTTTTTCCAACTGAAGCCATCCTGTCTGAATAAAAGCACTGGAAACATAACTCAAAATCATGAGGTACACCACTTATTAAGGAAAGCTGGAATGTTTGGTAAATGGCAGAGTATCTTCTCTTCTCAGAAACGGACACCTTTATTACTACCTTCAAATGACAAAGTAATTTTCTATCAAATGTAAGACATAAAAATGCTTGCAAACAGTACTAGCAAGCATGGAGCCTCAGCCACTTAGACTTTCCGCTCTGTACAGAGTCTACACAAACCCCTACTCAACATGCAGCCCACAGAACACCCCTACAGCTCCCCATAGTACTGGTGAAAACTAATTCTTTAAAATATATGCCACATGTAGGTCTCATTATTTTAAAAATATAAATCTTTCATTTGCAGACAGTTTAGCCTTTTAAAATTTATTCAGTATCAACTACATCCCTGCTGTACTATCTAAGGACTTTGTGAATCTATTTTTTCTTTCATCTCTTAAGCAGATTAAACATTCACTGAGAACCTATTTAAGGTTGTATGTTTTTGTTTCCTGGACCTCTTGTATGACACTTAACTTCAGGATAAACTTAAGTTTATGTGTCTGTGTGACTGTGGCTAGGAATGAGCACATGAATGAAGCTATCCTTAGAGGCTAGCAGAGATGTCAGGTCTAACAGTGTAATCAACAGCAGAGAAATTTTAAAAGGGGTTGGGGGAAGTTTTAAGATAAAATGCTACATAGTAGGATGCAAATTATAAATTTTTCTCACAAGGAATTAAGAAAAATTAGTCTTTTAAATAGTCCATATACTAATCTACGGAACTGTTTCTTGTACTATTAAAAATGTTATTGATCAAACATGATATACTATCAGTGTAGATAAATCTCAAATTCAAAGGTGATTAAATAAAATATAAACAACATTCTTGAAAACAATGAATACAGAAATAACAAGTATATGAACCTTAGAGAATAAAGAAGCAGAAAAAAGAAAGAGGCAGAAATAGTATTAATTTAAACCTTAACAAGGTCTGTCCGATTGTGTAAAATCAAAATGATATTCTACAAGACAAAAAACAGGTCTACTCACCCTTCAGCATCAGGGTCTAAAATGAGTGCAAGTTCTGTCAACACAAGGCCTGCCAGATAATGCTGCTGGCGGAAGGGCAAGGACAACTCAAACATATTTGCAATTTTCTGGTCCTGCACATTTGTGGAAAATCCAGAACTCTGTTGGGGGGTAAGGTAGAACTCAACTGTTGATAGCTGTGCAACAAACATCCTACAGTTGGGGCATTGCAACAAATAAAATGTGACGTTATTATGCCGGACAAAAGTTACTTCGGAGTGTTCACAGAAAGTAACTGTTCTTACTTCAGGTATGGAGACTATGGTGACATTTCTTCATTTTTGTTATCAAACAGAAGACTGGCCTACCCTGGGGAATTCTATGTGAGTATTACAGACCTTAGGAAGAGGATTCATGAGAATATAAGATGAACTCTGACTTCATAAAGAAAGTCCTTAGGAAAGCAGCTCGTCCAACTCATGAAGAACATAACATGTATATTTTATGAGGGAGGGGAAAATCTTGGCTTCCTTGACACTATGACTATAAAATCTTAATCTTTTTCATCTTCAAGGAGACTGTTAGTTGTGAAAGTTAAGTGGTATCCACTTCAACTTTAAAAGTACACTGAGTTTCTGTGAGCAAGTCAGGCTGAGCTTGGCAGGCTGGCACTGCAGTCTGGCTTCTTTCCCTGCTTCAAGGTATTTACAAATAGAATACATAAATAGAATATAAATTTAAGTAGCCATTTCACAGGTATTTACCCCAAACAGTTTCTATAACTGCTTCAAGAAAACTCAATCTGGGAAATCATCAAAATAAGTAAGTTTACTTAGGTGAGTTCACATATGACTATATAGATAAAGATGTACATCATGCTTAAAAACCTGGACTCTGGAATAAAGCTTTGGTTCAAAGCCTAGCCTGGTCATTTCTTACTTTCTGTGTTTCTGGTTTGAAGCTATCTAATATGGATAAAAACAAAACAACCCCCCTAGAACTGTTTTTGGTATCAGATGAGTTAATCCTTTAAAGCACTTATGTGGTGGTTTGAATAAAAATGGATCCCATAGGCTCATAGGGAGTGATGGTATTAGGAGGTGTGGCCTTGTTGGAGGAAGTGTGTCACTATGGGGTGGGTTTGAGTTCTGAGGTGCTCAAGCCAGGCCCAGTGTGGCATTCTCTTCTGACTGCCTGACAATCTGGATATAGAACTCTCTGCTCCTTCTCTAGATTGTCTACCTATGCAACACTATGCTTCCCACCATGATGATAATGAATTAAACTCCTGAAACTGTAAGCCAGCCCCAATTAAATATTTTCCTTTACAAGAGTTTCCATGGTCATGGTGTCTCTGCATAGCAATAGAAACCCTAACTAAGACAAGCCAGAAGTAAGCATATCACCTAACTAATCATCAGATAACACCTCATTATTTTTCCACCCATTGTTTTGAACCCTTTTTTATAAGTATCTCCTCACATTTAACATACCTGAGATGTTGCAGAAGAAACAGAAGGTGATGGAGATGCAGGTGGGGTGAGCAAGCTGCAGGGTAAATTTAATGTAACATAGTGCTCATGGCTACAGATGATTCGCAGGAAGTCCAGCCTCAAAGACACCAGGACACTTGGATTTGGCAGTGAATAGAGCTTTGATGACACCTTGGAAGGATTATATAAATAAAAGAACACCAATTGATATATGTAAATATATATATCAATTATATTATATATTATATATTATACATTATATATATAACATCCTTTTTCCCCAAATTGTGGCAAACACTACAAACATGGAACTACAAGATCTACAGTATAAATCTACTTGACTAACCTAAAGTCACATTATTTTATTGCCAATATTGCATTTATATTTCTACTTCTCAAAACTGTACTTTATGAGGGAAAAACACACTTCAAAGAAAGCCTTCTTTTTAACATTTCTGTTTAATGCATTTATAGTTGTCTATCTTCCCCAACTACATCACAGGCTATTTAAGGAGACACACTGTAAGCTGATTTAATAGGTATAGTATCTTCTGAGTCAACCCCAACATTTGACAAGTGCAGGAGTTCACTAAGCCAGAATAAGTTTTTTTGTCATTGGTAGTTTTTTGTTTTGTTTTGTTTTGTTTTTAAGACAGGGTCTCATTATGTAGCTTTGGTTGTCCTGGAACACACTATGTAGACCAGTCTAGCCTCAAACTCCCAGAGATCTGCCTACCTCTGCCTCCTGAGTGCTGGGAGTAAAGGCATGAGCCACAATACCTGGCTCAGAATAAATTTTGATAGTAATAAAATTTAAAGTTTTGGGGAAAATAATAGTGTTTTACAAATATCTCTCAGTCAGTGCTCATGCATATGTAATTTCTATGACTATAAAAGAAAAAAAATATCCTATTGAACAGGTCTTTGAAATTTTAAAGATTATATTGCCAAATAGAAGTGTTCGAACATTTTATATGGATGAGTGTTTCGCCTGTATTTATGTCTATGTACCACGTACATGCCTGGTACCCACAGAAGTCAGAAGAGATTGTTGGATATTCTAGAACTGGAGTTACAGACTGATGTGAGCTGCCATGTGGGTGTTGAGAATTAAATCCAGGTCCTCAGGAAGAGCAGCCACTGCTCTTAACCATTGAACTATCTCTCCAGCACCATAGAATTTAAGATCAATGGCTCTCCAAAACTAATCCATGGGCCAGCTATGAAGGCTCTCATGAGTTTTATTCTTAAACCACACAAGCATTCAACCTTCTAAATACTTCTGGGATAAAACCCAAACATTTTATTTTTCAAGTCACTGCACTGTTTACAGGGGCCAATTCATAGATAAAAATCAGTTATTTCCCAAAAGGTGACACATTAATAGTCAGTTTATAACATTTAAAAAACATAACTTGCTGCCTGTGGACAAGGAAGGTCTAGGGTGTTTGCAGTTTACTAATGACATGGTAATATATGACATTTTGAACTTCAATAAACATCTAACCAGGAGTCCAAACTCTGTTTAGGATTAAATAATAGCAATAACAACAAACTGTTTACTTTTAAGACCACTGAAAAACAGGCATAGCAGCTCACAATCGTAACCCTAGGATATAAGAGGTAGACCAGGAGTTCAAGGTCACTCTCAAATACATAGTGAATTTGGAGCCGTCCTAGGCTACATGATACCCTATCTCAAATAAACAAATAATACCCAGGATAGAAAAAGTTCAATTAACTGTGCAGTCGACATAAATGCTGCATTGCATCACTAATTATCTAACTGTTAATGGGAAGGAAGAAAAACTGAGTCGGGTAAATTAGCTGTTCTGGGATCCCATCGCTATAGTCACCATAAAACACATTCAATGAACTTTCACCACAGTATTAACAACACATAACTCTGTGCTACTTTTCCATTTTAATGCTAGTATATGAACGTGTTCTTGAAGCTCCAGCCCTGAAAACAGCTATTCCAGTATTTTAATTACTTGATTACTAGTTATGTATTACCTGTTTGTAGCAGGACTTTATAAGAGTGAAGACAAATCCTCTGTCCATAACAGACAACAAATCATTAAGAAAGAAGGCAAGGCTTGTATTCAGTCTCTCAACCATTTCTGTGTCCTAGGAAACAGAACATAAGCAAAAATAATAATGATGATGATAGTGAAGAAAAACATGACAGTTTACCCTCAGCTTGTAAGACACATCAATGGAAGGTCATCCTCACCTTCTGAAATCGTGACACAACATCACCAGCAATTGTGCTAACCAGAGCAGCAATGTCATCCATAAAACGTTCTGGAAAGCGGGTTTTCCTTGGAGCATCAAGCTTATCATTAAAGTACAAGTGATGCACCATGCTCTTTACCTGGGAAAGGACACACACCATTACTGTGTTGTGGTTTTGTTATTTTATGGCAGCATCTTGCAATATAACCCAGATCACCTTTGGGTTCTCACTCCTGTCTCAGCCTCTCAATGTTTAGATTACACTTGTGCTCTACCACCTGGCGAATTTCTTAATTTTAAGCAAATTATAATGGCTCTAAATATTCTAGCTACTTTTTAAAATATAGCGTGTAATTTAACAGTTGACTGAAATATATTTTTATTTCCCAATATTTTGAAAATGTTTCCTAAATATTTTCTATATGCCAATGAAATGTCAAACACAGTAAAACTTTTCCACTTTACCCTCATGAATTACCTAAAAGTTAAAAAAAAAAAAAAATCAGTGTAGGTTAACAAAACAATCCACAGTGTAAGAAAAATGTTAATTAAAAAACCTTAAGACTCACTCATTTTTTTTTCATTCCATTGTCCCTAAACTATAAATTTTCAATCATTAAAGACCCTGCTGTATTCATTGTACTGTCATCAATATCTATTACATAAAATATTAGTTAATAAATTTAAGTGACTTCCATTTACAGAATGCTTCTGGATTTTTATTATAACACTAGCAATCGTAATAAAGAATTTAAACATTTCAATTCAAAGAGAGCTAATGTGTCGATAGTATACAGTACAGCCAAATCTTCCTTTTGATGAAGTGGTAAATGAACACAGAGCTTTCACATGATAGGCAAGGACTCCACTACTCATCTGTATTCTAGGTCTCTCTCTCCTCTCTCTCTCCAGGGCCTCATCATGTAGCTCTGGCTAACCAGGAATTCTCTATGCTGAGCATACTCGCTTCAAACTCAGAGATCTGCCTGTCACTGCACCTGCACTAGTATGTCCAGCATCCGGATTTATTTCTAAAAGGCCCTGGGATGAAAGGTGTGCAGCACTATGCCCAGCTATAGCCAACTCTTCAACTGTAATCTCTGAACTCATATTTAAAATCTGAACACACGGTCTTTTCCTAGCCATCCACCATGGTGGGTGGATAAAAGACCCGAGCTAACATGGGGTTAGCTCCATAAACAACTATAATAAAGCCTCATGCAGTTTGCATCAAGCTTTCGACTCCGTCTGGTGATTGGGGTGGCTGCGGTCCTGGGCTGAAATCCTGGAAGCCTGAGCTTCCGGGGTTCTTTCATTTGGGGGCTCGTCCTGGATTTGCCACTACCCCTCACCTGAATGGAGTCGATCTTGGAGGTAAGGTAGAGCTTTGTGTCTTGTTATGTCCATGTTTGATAATATGTCTTGTTATGTCTCTTGCCATTTTGTTGGTTTGGCGCCATTACATGGATTTGATCTGTGCCTGCGCAGGACTTGTATTTGGTCATTTAGACCACAGTGGGAGACAGACGTGTCCTGAGACTCTTGGTCCCGCCCTGGATGAAAGTCCGAGGGTCGTTTGATTTGGACCATAGGGAAAGCAGACATGCCTCAGAGGCAGATGTGCCCTGAGCCCCTTGGTCCCGCCCTGGATGAAAGTCCAAGGGTTGTTTGTAGTTTTGGTTTGGGGCATCATTCGTCTACTGCACGGTTTGTCCTGTTGTGTCTGTACTTCTGTTTTTGCGGTTTGTGTCTGTCTGTACTAACCACACCCATCCCCAGATTCCACCTCAACTGTGATTGGCAGATGTGCCCAGAGGATCACAGACTGCTGCCCTGAGGACACCCAGGAGGTACCGACGGAAGCCAAGGATGCTTGGATCCTCCTCAGATAGCCGCCTGATTGTAGCCACCTGGTTCTGCCGCCCATCTGCCCGGTGCCATTGCCTTATAAGCGGCACGGACGGATTGGGTTGGCATCTGTTCTTTTCTGTCTATTCTGTCTCTGTGTGTTTTCATCGTTGGTTTTCAATTCAGGATCCACCAGGACACCCCCTTTTGTTGAGTCATGTGGTGCTGTGTCAGTTTTGTATTTTCAGGTCTGCTGTTTCTGTTAATTTTGTAAATGTAAAGGTCCTATATTAGGGTCACTAGTGACATCTGTAAGTAGGCCTACAAGAATCGTTTAGGATAGAGGTTCGGGCAACAGCTTCCACAGTTTGTAGGAGTAGAACTTGGTAGGACCAAGTTGCTTGCTCCATCTGTAAGGGGACCCAAGCAGGTCACCAGTTTGTAGGGGAGACTTGGTTTTTTGGGCCAAGTTGTACCCCATGGGGCTAACCATCTGAAATTCTGAATAGGACCCTAGTCTGTGTTACTGTGCTGTCTGTCCACGTTTCATATTTGTGCTGTGTGTTTGTTAAGCATCTCTTTCTGTCCTTACTGCCCACGCACGTGGCATGCGTGGGGTCAGGGATCTTTTCTTGTCCTGAGCACATGGTGTGCGGGATAGGAGTTCCTCTGCCATGTGCCATGGGTTAGAGTGTGCTGTGGCGGGGTCCCCTGCTACTCTGAACTCCAACCATTGCTGCAGCCCTCACAGCTGAGCCTGGCCGATGTAGGTGAGTCTGTTTTTCTATCCTCAACTGCCGGTCTGTGAGGCATGCAAAGTGGGGCTGTCTCTGCCCCAACTGCCATCCTGCCATGGGTCCTGGCTTTCGGCAGGGGTTTCCCTGCCCTGAGCACATGGCTTGCAAGGCCACCATTTGCCTGGCTGCCCGGCCTTCTCTGTGCTCCACACATATGGTATGCAGGGAAACCTCGGGGGTCTTCTTCCCACCCCAGCATTGGCTGAGGGTCTGGGATTACCAGCAGCAACCCCCCTGAGCACATGGAGCTGGGGCGGGTGAATTATCTGGCCTGATCCAGACGTTCTAAAGAAATGGCCTTAAAGTTATTAAAAACTATAAAAAGGACTTTGTTAAGAATTTTTATGTTGACTGAAAAATGAGAGAAAATTTAGGAGACTAAAGTAATAAAGAAGGAAAGGGAAAGAGAAATTTGTCTAAAAATGACTAAGAAAATCAGAGGAATAAACTAAAGGTATATAGAAAGTTACAGAGGGTCAAAGAAAGTAGTAGAAGGTCAGAGGAAAGTTGTCAAAGATCAAAGAAAAGGTCGTTAAAAGTCAGAGAAAAATGTAAACTGTTTGCTATGGTTTCTCATGTCTACAAATAATAAATTTTAAAAATTGGTAATATTAACCATATTAAGTTAATTCTGTTAAAAAGTTGTTTATTTCTCAAGCAATTATGTATACTTGTTTTAAAATGTTTTGTTTCCTGGCATAACCTAAGTTCTGTTACAAGCATACAGCTAAAACAAATGGTGCAGGTCATCGCCATTTTGTAGCCAGCCACTTGGCACAAAATGACTGGTAGCTATTTTGCTGAAGTTGAAAAAAAGAGGCCATCTTGACTAAAGATGACCACATGGAAATTAGAGGTACCATTTTAGAAACAAGATTTTCAATTAAGATATAAAATGTTAATACGTCTATATATTACAGAAAGACATTAAGGGAGTTTAAATTTCTTTTTTAAATCCAGTTTTCTAAGTGTTTATGGTTATTAAAAGATGTTTTTATTAATGTTTGTACTTAAAGAGCTTCAATTTAGAATCATTTTTAAGCAAAGTCTGACAATGTAAAGTTCTTTGTTTTATAAAAACTGCTAATCTATTATAAGACGCTAAAATTTGTGTTTTCAGAAGTTAAGTTTAGGGTGTTGGTGGCACATGCCTTTAATCCCAGCACTCAGGAGGCAGAGGCAGGTGGATCTTTATGAGTTCAAGGCCAGCCTGGTCGACAGAGCGAATTCCAGGACACACTGCAAAGCCACAGAGAAACCCTGTTTCAGAAAAAAGTTAAGTTTAAGCAAGCAGCTAAAATGTGTACATGTAGCTACTATTTAAGGAATATAAGGTAGCTCTATGCAGTTTTAAGTTCAGCTGTGCTAAGTTTCAAACATTTTACTAAGTTAAAACCAGTTACAGTCAGACTGAAAATTAATTAATTACAGAAATAGGACCTTACCAAGCCACCTGTGTGCTTAATGTGTGCTTAAGGCAAGTAACTAAAACAGACAGACAGACCTCTAATGCTTCAGAGACCTGCAGAATAAGGCATTTAAAACGTTGTTTTAAAAGTTTATAAGATCAGACAGACTGCCAGATCCTGACAGTGACCCAAAGTATCCAAAGAAGATTATTAGGCACCCCAGTTCCTGCACCTGGATAATGATGATGCTGACCAGTGAGCGAGATGCTCAAATGTGACACTGGCTGCCTGCCAGGACCTGGCCGAGACTGTGGACAAAGCTGCTGGACACTGGTAAATTGATTGTACCCCTTGGCCTAGACAAAACAAGGTCAGTCTTGTCCATGTCCCTCTTCCACAGAGAGAAAAAAAAAAAACCCCTCACCTTATAGGCCTGGCAAAGATTGATGTTCTTTGATACTTCTGCCTCCCAACGCTAATGGAGAGATTTGGGTATGGCTTACTGTATATGGGCTGGCTTCTAACTGGCTTCTGTTGCTTTTTAATAGATTCGGAAACTATAAAATTTACCTTCTCAGATCTCTGAAAGTATTAATGGCTGTCAGCTTGACAGTATCAGGCAGTCAGATCCATTATAGACTATAGTCAGCTTGGTAACTGATAAAGTAGTGACTACCTACTATTCAGTTACAAGTTCAAGGTTTTTAGGTTTATTTTGGTTGTCATCTAGGTATAAACTTAAAGGGCTTTTCATCATGCCAAAGGCACCTCTGTCCACTCCATACCTGGCTCTCTGGACAGAAGAAAAATGTACATGCTTCTAGACCAACTCTGTTTGAACAGATATCCAGATATCTGCTTTTTCTGTACTGTGGGCTTCAGTAAATAAGTTTTAACCTCTGTTCCTAGTTTAAACATGTCTTAAACAGGTTTCTGCTTCTGGGAGACATCTGAGTATCAGTTGCTGACTACAGGCTGTTCTAAGTAGATTGTGAGCCCTGGACTTGCTGTGGATGTGAACCAGTCCAGCTGATGTGGACACCCCGTCTCTGCAACAGAGTCTGCCAACAAGAAGCTCCTGATGGAATCCCCACTGCCTAAATTCCCATTTTTGCTTTTGACTAGCATTTCAGCCTTCTTGGGTCCCTAATTTCATCCCAAAGTCAGCCGGAAATAGAATGGGAAAGAATACATCGCCCATTTTCCCTGGTTGAAATGCTAAGTCAGAAGTAACTCCCTTGCATGGGGATGTCAATATCTCTCACTCCCTGATGGGGACACTAGAGAGACTGCAATTCCATGATTGGAATTTCCAAAAAAAAAAAAAAAAAAAAAAAAAATGGGGGGAT